GCCATTTTCGGCGTTTATTCAAATTTTTCGTTTTCCGATTATTCTCCCCAGCCCTGCGCCGCCCCCAACGCCGAAATCTGGCCTGAAAAGTGGCCCGATTTTGAATTCGAAATTTCCCGGATATTGCGCCCCGTTCCACGTACGCGACGTTCGTTCCTCGCTTGAATAAATGACTCGGTGACCTTTCCCTCGAAACGGAAATTTGATTGGAATTCGCGAGTTCAACGTATACATTCTTATCGCAAGACGTGAACTGGAAATATCGCCGAGAGATATCTAGTCATTCCACGAATAATCGTCGCTCTCTAAACGATCGAGCAGCTAATTAATCGATTTCCCCGACTAATCATCATTTATTAAAAGATACTCTCACCGTATGTAAGAATTCCAAATTCAGTGAAATTGTATAGAATTGTTGTATAGAATCACAAATTTGGTGAAATTGGTTTGGTTCGTGGAATACGCCTATCGAAGGTTAATTTCATCGATTGGCGAATTACTTGATTCCGCGATATGCAACAATTAAGATGCGTCCTTGTTTAATTCGAAAAGAGGGAATTCCCTGTTAACTTAAACGAGAAACATGCTTCTTGCTCGGATCCAGTGGCGATCTACGCTTTCCAGTCCGACGATGCGCAATTAATCACAGTTGTCTGTAGCGAAGTGTTCGTTACCTGTTCCGTGTAATTAAAATTAATTATGGCCGTTTGTAATATCAGCGACTGCACCCGAACTAACTAATTGTTCGTGATGCATTGTTTCGCTGTATCCCAGTTAGTCGTTAAAGCTCTTCCAGTGCCTTTGCCGAGGGTTAGATCGTTCCTCTGCGCGTCCCTTACAGCTGGTCGTTCGCTCGGTCTCCCTGGGCGTCTCGTCCTTTGTCCGAAACTCTTGGTTGGAAATTTCTGGAATTATATCTCGGAAAGCAGGAACTCCCTGCAGCAAAGAGTGTCTAGACAACAGTCGCAACTAAGCTCATCGACACGCTATTTAACCCTTAAATGCCCTAAGTTTCAAATTTGATACCGGACTTTTAAATCGAATTGCATTAAAATTGATCAAATAATAAATACCTTGGTATCTTTTTAAATTTAATTTGGAAAATCAGGCTTCTAAGACTTAACTCTGCCAGCGCGTACAGAGTTACAAGTGTAAAATTTCAATAAATGGAAGAGGTTCTGTAGTTGTTTGGAAACAAAAGCAATCACAGATAAGTTTCTTCGAACAGTTCAAACTAGAAACGAGCCCTCGTTTCGTTTCCAGTGCATATTACGGTATCGACAGCTGTAGAGCAATCGATGAAATTGTCGTATATTTCCTTCGTGCTAGACAAAGTTAAAATTAGAAAACCGTGTCACGGGTATCGCAGATGTCACGGGTTAGCATGCGTCAGCGTGACCTCTAGTTAAAAATGGACGGAACGCCAGAAGTTAATACGTAATCTGCAACTCGGAATCTTTGAAACCTTCTGTGAACAACGAACAGCATAGATTACTATACACAGATAGTTCGAGTATAAATATTTATACAGTCACACCTGTCTAATTGTAAGTGCCGGGTATAATTTCCTCGACAACGTTTGCGTGGGGTTATCCCCATCGCTCGGAACTCCTGACTCGAGTCGACGACACTTGAACACGGTTGAGCGTAGATACTCGGGAGCAAAGGAAAGTAAAACATAACAATTACGAGCAAATATAAACGAAACGGGACTAGTTCATTTCGTGATTCGAGACTTCGAGCTCGAGACGTCTCGGTGATCTCGGCCGATCCGCAGTTATGTTTACGGGAAAGTTACGTCGGTGGCGCAAGTTCGGTCGAGTTCTCCGTGTCATTGGCCTTGCCCTGGCGTCGCCCACGACGAATGCGAGCGTGTACAGCGCAGAAGTAATTACCGAAGCGGCGGGGAAATGCGCGTCGCGGATGGCGCGAGCTGCTTCCTGGCCGTCGGAGTTCGCAAAACTTGTTTGAATGGGCTCCGGGAGGAGTGCTAATTATTGTTTCCCATAATGCGTGGAAATCCCTTCGAGTTTAACGCGGTCGCGCGTGTGTGAATTTATTTTTGAATGGGAGGACGAATAAAAGCGAATTCCGCGGGGGAGAATGCCTCAACTTTGTTCGGTAACATCGAGGGTGTCGTTAAATGCTGTACCGCGCCGCGGTTCGTGTTATTCGAAAACGGTATAGAAACTTCCATAAATTTTCAACTATGTTGATGGAGAATAATCACGAAGGCCAATAGAATATTTGCTGTAGCATTTTTCACTCGATGTATCTCGAACAATAGGCACGGTTTTCTCGTCGCGAACTAGTCTACATTTTGGAACGGAACAACTCTCTTCGGCATACATGCCGACGTCGTTAGAGGGTGTTTCGTGTTGCTGGCGCGCGGGTCTGGTCCCTGGGAATGGCGCAGAAACGTGTCTAGGCCGTCACCGTGTCGACGGAAACTGGGAAAATGAAGAGGCGAAAACGTACGAAAATGAGAAACCGTGTTCCAGTTTCCATTGGGTACGCGCGGCGTCTTCGTCCGCGCTCGCGATAAGGCGCGCCTTTATCGCCCCGACGATACGTTTCGGTCCGCAATTTTCAGCGATATTGCGCGGAAACGGGAAGACCGCGCTACGGAAAATCCTTTTTGTTTTCGCGATACGCTAATACGCGGATCCGACCCGTGGCTTTCAGCGCGTAAAAGGAACAAGATGCGACGTTTATTACCTCCTCGGAGATTGTTGCCGGGTAGGGTGCAAAAATGCCGAGGAGAGCCCGCATAAGCCGTGTAACGCCGCGACTCTATTTGCGTGTCTGCGAAGCGAAGTGCGTCACGAATGATGCACTTTTCGACGAACGCTTCGCTCGTTTTTGGACCACGGACTCCCGGCCAGATCGTTAAGTAAGAGCAGATTATGGAAACATTTTGACGCGACTGCACCCCGACAAGTATCAGGTATGCGGTTGAAACAGGAGAGACAACTAAGATCTCGTGGAAAACAATGTTGAATTAGACGCGTTGAACTAGATGAATTGCAATGAAATTAATTGTATCGACTGTACAGAATGTAAAAAAACTAACTCTTTCGTAAAGCAACCCCTTCCAGATTCTCGCAGAGATGTTCCTACGATCCCTGCCGTAGACACTGGATTCGAGTTAAAGATAGAACACCGGTAAACAGAGTCACGTACAGGGCCTGCAGCTGCAACAGAGTCGCATTGAGCACCGAATAAAAATGTACGCCGAGTACTATGTTCGGAACAGTGCCTCGACACAGTCCAGTAGCAAAGAGACCTAACTCAGACCAACTGTGGCCTGTCCGCGCGAACGTTCCTCAACTGTTTACATTAACACGAACGCTAAGCTTCGTTTCGCGGAAAGAATGGTGCAAATCTTAATTGGTTATGGAGAGCAATTCCCTGGATGCGTTCAATTATCCCTGATAAATGCAATAGCAAACGAAGAGAAACAAAACAGCCAGGTTTTTTTATTACGATTATCGTCCGTCGCGGGAACGATCAGCGTACGCGTACGAGGTAGCCGATTCAATTTTTCCGTTTGCATCCCCTTCTTTTCGACACCCTCCTAGCAGAGGTCCAGTTGTTCGTTCGTTCCGTGCTCATCCGTTCGTCGGAAGCGAAGCACAATTGCCTGGTCGCGCATGCAATGGAAGGGGGTTCGTGAAAGTTGCATGAATGAAATGAAAGAAACGGCGAGCGGGTGGGAATTGGTTGGATAGATTGCGGCGTGAGAAGAGCGGGAGAGACAGAATGATAGATGTCCGGATAGATGGATGGATGGATGGATGGATGGATGGAGGTGGGAGAGAGAAAGAGAGTTGTCGGTGGAAATAAATCACGCGCGGCGGAGGAATTTACTTGAACGGCCGATTGGTCGTTGCTGGTGGCGATAATCGGGGCGGTGGGTGATACTTCGCTGGAGGAGCTCCAACGTTCCCTGTAGATGTATCCTGGTGATTTTGACGAGCTAGAACGGGGCTGGAAGCCACCGAAGGCGGAGGTCTGATGGAACCGGGTGAAAAATACGAGTTTGCTGACGCGCGTCGGCAACGGGCCGTTCTAATTCGCGTCGATTCGCGCTGCACAGCCGCCGCGTTGTTCCTGACAGCTTACACGTACATATACGCGGAGATTTCAAAATAAAACCGTCATTCGGAGAAATTTCCTGCGTACGAACCGACGCGATACGATCGAGCAGACGCTCGTAAACCGTTAGTTTCAATCAACGGGGGTAAATGGTTTTCTATCCGACCCCTGCCTGCTCCAATTCTCATATCCGTGCCGATACACGGACGGCGTATCAAGTGAAACACCTCTGCTCGGTACGATCCGCCGATGAACCTCTGGAAGCTTAGGAATTCCAAGCCATGGCTCGACAGCCTCGAGGAAAATTCGAGCTACCAAAGAGGCGATTTTAACGCGGTTAGAGAACACGAAACGGATTCTATTTCGAATGAAAATAAGGAATAACCGTTCGAGATATCGGAAACTTGACGTGCGTTAAATGTAAAGAGCACACGGTCGTATAGAAATTGAACTCGATGTTTATCCCATCGTTTCAGCCGATGGTTTTCACCCGCCTCGGGGAAATTATATTACCGCATTTTGAGTTGATAGCCAGAGGACTCGGAGTTCTGGTACGAACAATTAATCGAACGAAACAAATAAAATAAACCGCTGGTTACTTTGATTCGTTATTAGTATTATCAACTGATTGCTGCTACGAGGAAATGGTTCTTGAATTTATCGTATAAAATTAATTCGTCACAGTTTGTAGATTTGGACAGTCCTTCTTAGGTGTAAATATTCTGCTAATGAAAAATAAAATTCAAATAAAAAGCATCGAGCCCCGAGCTCCATTCGGAGAAATGCAATCGAACATTCTGCTCGTGCCTTCGGTCCGATCAAGGTAAACGAGAACGGGATGCGTGAACGGTCACGTACATCGATCCGAGTGAAAAACACCGATGTTTTTTTACCTGTTCCAGGTGACTTCTCGTTGCACATATACCCAGTCGAGCTGGAAGACGACGGCACGTACCAATGCCAAGCCTCGCCCACGAACGACGGCCAACCAGCGTTGCGCTCGAGGTTCGCCAAGCTGAGCGTCCTTGTGCCGCCTCAGAAACCGAAGATCCTTCAAGGCGATTTCCTTATCACCACCGAAGACCGGGAATTGGTGATCGAGTGCGTCAGCGTCGCTGGCAAGCCGCCTGCAGAGGTAAGATTCTCTATTCACCCTCTGGTGGACTCAACCCTCTCTCGGTTCGAGGTATTGTTTCTTTCCAGCTGGCCCGCATCGGTTTGGCCATGCCTTATCTCCGTTAGCGATCCGAAAATCTTATTCGTGAACATGCTAGATAAAGGAAATACCTCCGCGAATACACGGGAGTTCGTGTTGCGAGGAAACGTATAGACGGGTTACGTATCCCTCTGTCCAAACAGTCTTGACCTAGAATCAGCTGGAATGGAATGCGACGTCGAAACTAGGTGACCATACCACTGGCAAGGGTTGCAAGGCGAAACATTGTTCGAGAAATGAGATAAACCGAACAGTTTATTTAGAGATTTATTCGTGAAAAAAGCAAAGATCAGCGCGGAAGGAGATTCGGCCCGTATTAGGTCAGACTCGTCGCTCAGCCTTCACCGCTTACTCCTAGCAGACGCTCCCCTTCTCGGAATTGAATCCCTTCCATTTTTTTTAAATTGCTGAAAAGAACGATGGATGTCGAATGGAACATTTCGAATACGAGGGACTTGTTTGCCCAGTGAATACCGTGGATCTCGTTCATGGACCTCACAAAGAAATTCACCGTGATTTTAAGCGCGTTCTCGACAGAAACGCCAACGAGTCATTAACGGGAAGCTAAGGGTCGAATAGTCCGTCCATGAAACGAGAACTAATTTAAAAACGGAAAGGTCGTGCTTGGCAGCGTAAACGCCGGAGTGCCCCGAGGGCCGCAATAACGCGTTAAACCATGTTACGTCGGACACAGAATTACCGCGCGAAAGCACTGTCCTCTCCGCGGCGGTGTTGACAAAGGGACGCGTTGTTTCCCTCGGAGTGGTGCGGAGAAATATTCTTCAAACGCCTCATAGATAACAACACAACCAACGAACCCCGCTGTGCTTTTCGGCCAATGTTTCGACGCTCGTCCTCGGGCGATGGAAGCCCACCAGGAATCCTATTCGCTCCCTCTCTATTCGTATGGCTCGCAGTTTTCGAATAAAATGTTATTGCTATACGTACAAATACCAAAACGGAACGTCGAAATAATGCTCGCGTGTTGAGACTTCTAAGGTCAGAGACTCGAGAAAATCGCGACACGTTCGATAATTAGGTTGGCCAAATTCCGTCTCTGTGGCGCATCAACGGATCATCAAGTACGCACAATAATTAGTTGCCAAGGGACTAACGATACCATTATTCAAATGGCATCGTGCCTAGGCGGAATTGAAAGGGGCTCGCTCGGTTCTCCTCTCCGTCGTCGTTTCACCGTGACGTATGTGCGTGCAAAAACATCTCTGATGCAAAAGTAAATAGACAAAGACGCGGAGAATCGAAGCGCAGCCGTGGTTACGCTAGGAGCTTTTTCCCCGACCGGTCTTTTATCTCGCGGCGTTTTTTCCGCGATGCACGCGAGTCCGCGGCAACCCTCAAAGATCCGGTTTTCCCTTTTCAGCAGCGACAGCACCGCGGCTGTTCGAGCTCGAGGCGTATCCGAACTCGGTCAAGCTGCCATTTCGTCGAGTCACTTCTGCCTGGTTTAAAAGCGTTTCGGCGGCACGGCGTCGCTCGCATACGAGTGCCAAAACATCGGCCAAAAAGCATCGCGGAGTTTGTTGGATTGTGTAGCGCGAAGCGTTTGAAGAATATTTCCCCCCGAGCCACTCCGAGGGAAACAACGCGTCCCTTTTTTATTATAAGCATTATTGCTTAAACGGTGCGGCAAGCCACGGGACGTTCGGTCGGCAGAACAGAGGACCCGTCGCTAAAACAGACCAGGCTGCTGGTAAAGCTGACGACTCTGCGGATAAGGCAAACGCTCTGTACCACCGACACCGTCCTCTGTTTTATCAACGCAATCGTCGTTTATCCACCTTTCTCGCACAAGTTTCTAACTCGAATTGTTACTCCATCGAAATCCAGCAGAATTCTAATGACGTCCTGAGACTCGTACGATCGGTGATGTAATAAAGCGCGATGCGCGGGGATACGGATGATGCGGTGTTAATGCGCGGGCCGATTCGTGACACCGCGAACAATTTCGCGGCGGGACGGGCTTCGCCGCTAATTCACCATTCATTGGGATGCGCATTGCGGCCGCGATTGCATTCGTTAATACAGAAATCCGTTTTCGATCGCGTCGGCGATGCGGGGGAGAGGGTGCCTTTCGGCCTAGATAAATAACGAGTCGCGGGGATTGTCGACGACGCGGGAACCGGCGAAAAATTAATTAAATTTGTTTCGTGGCCGTTCAGCGCGCTCGCGCACAGTTTTTAATTAAAATTACGCGCGAATCCCGCTGATTAATGCTGTTACACGGGGACCAGGGCTGCGCGCTGGACCCGATGGAAAACCGTGCTCGAAATGCCATTAGCCAGTTGCGCACCTAGGGGGGCGCAAGAGCGCAATTGCAGCCCCCTTGCTGCGCATATCCATTTTTCAACCATCGGAGCTTTTTACACGCGTGCGTCCAAATAAATAAATTTCCGTTATATTTTTGATATCTGCAAAAGCCTCGACGAATATTTGAAATAAATTTTACCGAGCATTTAAAATTGAATAAACCTGTTCGCTATTTTCTGTAATGAAATTTTGAAGAGCGCCGATAGGCACCACGTATACGTTTCTGCTATTTTTTCACTCCCAGTCGGGTTATGGAGATTGGCAAACATTTTACACTCGAGGATCGTGGAGCTAACGAAACTCGATCTAACGATCGAAAATTTCTTTCGCGGATCAACGTGGAACGAACGAATATCTCGTGGCGAGCGATCGAACGGTCTGGGCATACGAGATTCAATTATCACCGCCCACTATGCTATCGTTTGCTCGGTCATCCGATCGACGCTACTCCGGTTTCATAAACATTATCGCGTCGCGGACTAAAGCATGGAAACGTTCGTACTGGTATCCGGTTCAAACGTTTCTATGATGATGACCCTGGCCGAAACCGCCATTCGCTACAAATTAGCGCTGGAATTTTAGCGCCGTGAACGATGCGAACTTGGTGCAATCCGGTGCGAGTTACCGCGACTCGACCCTCTTTTTGAATGAACTCGATTTCATTTCTATTTTATTTAAATGTTACTTTCGTTGTGACAAAGTAATTGACAGTATATTGGACTTGATGTCGCAATCAACTGTTAGTCTTTTTCAGTGGAACTAGTACTATTGAAATAATTGTCGAAGTATTACCTATGTGTACCAACGCCTGCGAATACCTCTGTGGAAAAGTAGAGCTTTACCGGAACGTCTAGTCGAGTATCATATATTCACATTGTTTCGAATAAAGTAACTTTTTGAAGTTACAAGCAACCCGCGCTCCTAGCTGTATTTTTCAAACTGCAAAACCTGCGTACAGCCTGCGCGCAGCCCTGGTCCCCGTACGATATCGGTAATACACCGACAGTTCGCGAGTTTCGCGTCCAAATTCCAACGATCGTTTCGCGGCTGGGTATTATTCACTTGTGTCCAAAAACGAGCAAAAACTATTGTAATCAACCATAGATGGTGGATCGTTTCGCGCGCGATCCATTACGTTGAAGCGACATCGCGCAAACCATGACCAAGCGGGCTTATTCACCGCGTTCGTCCTCGAAATTCCGAAACCGCGAGCGAAAAAAATATCATGGCTCGGCGTATGTCCCGCCGAAATATATTTGGTCTCAGATTTTTGTTGGTCGGGAAAAAGCTGCCTCCCTTCGCGTCTGTGCGCTGATAAAAAAAAATAACAGTGAAAAACCGACGGTAGGAACAAAGAGGAACGCGAAAGAGCGTAATCGCCGGGGGAACCTGCGTCCGGATCCGTTGTAATTCGTCGATTACGCGCGTTCCTGGTCCTCGGCCGTACGGTTGGGAAATAATCGCGAAAAACCGTCGCAAAACTCCGACCATTGTTCGACTGTTGAAAGCTTTCGCGGTGGAGCACAAACGCTCTTGGATTGATCCGCGCGATAACGCGCGTGTGCGGCCGTCCACTTTCGTTTTTCTACAAAAATTTTTTCCATTGGCGAGCATATCGCGCGAGCGTATGGGATCTCGAGACTGTTACCAGCTGAAGTTGAACGGATTCGAAACCCAGAATTTCTACTATTGGAATTTTCTGGCGGTACCGATGCTTGGTTGGCACGGGTAGCGACTGAAAATAACGGAGGCCCTTTACCGCAGTGGCGGATTCAAAAATTCAACAAGGGCGGTGCGACTAAAAATTAAGTGAAAAATATTTCGCAAAAGTCTCATTGTCGAAATAAACGTTTCGAGAGCTTGGACGTCCTTCCTCTGTGTTTATCGGATTCACGGTGAAATAAATAAACATCGGTGTTCCAACGAAAAGGCTGCGAATCACGATCGAAAATACTCGAAGGATAACAACGCAAAAAAATAAAATACCAGAGGCCCAGAGGAGCTGCTCGGGCTGAAATTGGGAAGCTAAGGACGCTGGAGCTGGTTATCAATAACGGGCGGAAACTGCTGAACCGCGGACGGTAATTATCGTTGTTGCTCGTCGAGTGGGACGAGCACTCTGGCTCGCGAACCGCGTGAGTAATCAAAAGTGAACGGCCAGCAAAAGGATAATGGGAAACTCCCCGAGGAACGGAGATCCTGCAAAAAGAAAGAACTAGCGCCGTTTTCTTTTAGTCGGACATTCGTGATTACAAAAAACAATCGTGGAATCAGCGATGTTCGCATCGATTACTGGAGCACGCATGTCCGACGAATAATTTCGCAGCCGACCGTGTCTTGTGCGGGCTTATGAATTATTTTATGCTTCTGTCACGTCGACGTGTTGGGTTTCTCGAAGATTCCAGAGGAATTCGTGAGAGAGGAAGCTCTGGAAGCACGACAAGCGGTTAAAGGAAACGGAGACTGGCAAAAGACGAGCGGTTTCCTGCGTCAAAGATCATTAAGATAATTAAAATGACACGTAATGACGCGGGGACGATTACTGACACGTCGGAGTCGGTCGTTTCGACTCTCAAATGACCACGCAATTT